CCAATAATATTCAAATCTTATGTGATCTATTTCAGTGTTATCAAACATCTCTTTGACCATATTTAATCAGGAAAGTTTAAGATCTTATAATATTCTAAAATATCCTAATATTGTAGGCCTCTAAAACATACCCTTATGGTTTTTACAAGATTTTAAGCAGACCCCAGCTGATGATCTACAAGGAGAAGATATGTGCCTGTGAACTCACCTTCTTATATGTTGTAATTTCCTCTATCTATAATGATTTTAATTAGTTTAGTTTAAACATAAATCAAAGATGATTTCTTCTTGGATATTTCTGAATTTGGTTGTAAACGTTCACAATGCTAAATCAGGCGTCTGCTTGATAAAGTATGTAAAAACATCATCTTTAGGTGATTAAGTCTATCTCAGAGGACCAATCCTGAAAGGAGGTAACCGGTGACATGTGATTTTTAAATTTTGGCACAATGAATTTTGTCAACAGATCTTCAAAATTTTGTGAGGGTTTCTTACACAAAGGCTTTAGGGTTTAAGAGGTCATGAACTCACATTCTCATAAGAACATCCTAAAGGACTTTCATGGCTCCCTACATGTTGACTATATAAGCTATCAATACCCAAGCAATTTGATCAGTGTGTTGGTTGCCTAACATGAACTGATGTGTCGGGAAGTAGATGACTCGTTGATAAGCTAGCTAACTACATTGCCCTGATTGTTAGATTTGGGGACCCGAGCAGGCTAGATAGACTGGCTATTGAGTGATGGGGCTACCATTGTTGTTAAGATGAACTTGTTGGGGCCCATGATTTGGTGTTCAAATAGTATAATATTGACTCACAAAGTTTTGAAAGAAAGCTTGCAAGACAGGATTTTTACTAGCCCATCACAATTGCTATGGTGAATGGGGGTTCGACTAGGGGTAGCCCTTGGTTTGAGGGGTCTAGATGTCCTTGACATGAAAGCTGATGTCTAGCGATAGATTCTTGACTAGATACTTTACTCCTAGTGAGCGAACCATGATTTGAATTATTAGATCATAATTGCCGAATTGGGTTAGCCTAGTTTGGGTCAGCTGGCTCAAGGTTATCGAGGCTTTGTACTTGTGGCCTAGCTTGACCATGCTGATTGTTTCATTGGCTAATTCTTGTATCTTAGAAACTTGCCCTGGTCAAATCCCGTTACTATTTAAGGTAGTCTCCATCATACAATTTTGGTGATCTTCAATTCCTAAATGGTTGTTATGGGGTCTATTGATATGGAAACCATGATTTTTCTAATTATAGTCCCACATGGGCTGAGGTCTAGCTCACTTAATAGAATGTATCGGGTGCGAGGATGATGAAGATCAAAGCACAACAAGCAGCCACAAGTATCTTATTTTGTATCGGATGCTAAAAGTTTTAGGATTCAAAATTCTACGATTCTAGGGTTTCTTCTAAATCTATCCAATAATCACACAAGAAGGGTCTATTTACAGGCCTCATACTTCTAGAAACTAGCACCAACTTTCCGAAAGCATCTAGAAGGCCCGTGGCTTGGCAATGCGGCATGCATCACTAAACCGTGGCTCCTGACCATACGAGAATCCAACAACTTCCATTATGTGGTGGGCCAGTCAATTTTGCACTAGTTTTTAAGGTACCAATTCGCGATTCTCCATATATCTAGTTTTTATCCTATTAATTTGGATCGATCTGGATAGCTTTGAATAGATTTGGTAATTTCATGTTATCTTCTAGATATTTCCTTGGGCTTTCCAAAATGTGTGGACTATTGTTATGGTCCTAGGGATTATTGTAATAGTATGGTCCCTAATGGTTCATGTTTATGGGTTCCCTTAGCTAAGTTCATCACGTCGGGGGTGGTGGTGGTGGTGGGGGGAGGGGGGGGGGGGGGAATTTAGTAAGTGTTCACGGTTGTGAAACTTGAAAATTAGCAGTTCGACTGACTTTTTTGAAAATTAAATGCAGAACTTGAAGTTTTGAACAACTTCTTCACTGAAATAATGCATAACTTAAGAGGTCATGGATTTAAAGTTCCAAACCACACATACACCCAAAAAAAAAATACAAGTGTCCTCTATTTTGAAGAAAATTTTTGAGTGAGCAAGTGGTGCAGAAGCTCAAATTATTAATTTTCAAGAACTTGATTTCGAACTTCTAGTCACGATAACATGGAAAAAGATATCTTCGAAACTTGAAGATATGAACTGAAGCTAGTTTGAGACACAGAAACAACTTGAAATTAACAAACAGAAAACAAAGTGATCACATAAATAAGTGATCATCTTTTTGAATTTTGTTCTTCTTTTTAAATTTTGTGTTCCTAAAATAGGTGCGTATAAACACACTCTCTCTATTCCTCCTAAATATGGGTATGCCCCCATTTCTCTCTTAAATTTTGTTTATCCTAAAATAGGTATACACATTCTCTTTCTCTTCCACTAGGTATAGGTACACATCTCTCTCTAAATAGGAAAGATGGCGAATGTGATCTACGATCACTAAAGCACAAGGTGCTCTCTTATTTTCATAACACGTGTCCACTCTTAACCCTGATCTCTATAGCATAACGTGCTTTCTTATTTTCATAACTACTATCAATGTACAAACAAAAACATATTGAACTAAAGGGTTGTTTGAATCTCTAGATTTTTCAATCTTGGGAAAAGTCAATCCTGGAATTAAGATTTACTGGAATTGACATTTCCTGAAATCTGATGTATGCGGTTTGGATTGCATATGGGAGAAATCAAGAAAGTGCAAATTCCCTATTTGGATTGCCTGGAATATCTTTTTTTTAAAAATTGCAAATCCTCTCTCTCTCTATAAAAATTTTGAGATTGTTTATCTCTTTAAAAATTTCTCTAAAATTTTAATACTCTTTCAAAAACTTAAAATTTGAAATAGTCTCTAACTAAAATTTTTCTCTCAAATTTTTTTATTACTTTCTCTCTCTAAATTTTGATATAGTTTCACTCTCTAAAATTTTGAGATGCTTTCTCTCTCTAAAACTTAAAATGTGAGATATTTTCTTTTCATAAATTTTTTGAGATAATTTCTCTCTCTAACCAATTTTATGTAGTTTCCCTCTCTAAAATATGATATAGTTTCTCTCTCTCTAACTTTAAGGTACTTTATCTATCTAAAACTTAAAATTTGAAATAGTTTCTTTCTAAAAATTTTAAGATGGTTTCTCTCTCTAAAAAATTTTAAGTACTTTCTCACTCTAAAATTTGATATAGTTACTCTCTCTAAAATTTTGAGATGCTTTCTCTCTCTAAAAATTTAATTTTGATATAATTTATCTCTCTAAAATTTTCAAGTAGTTTCTTTGTCTAAAATTTTAGTATACTCTCTCTTTAAAACTTAAAATTTGAGATATTTTCTTTATCTAAATTTTTAAAAATAGTTCCACTCTCTAAAAATTTCAGGTACATTTCTCTATCTAAAATTTGATATAGTTTCCCTCTCTAGATTTTTAAGATATTTTCTCTATTTAAAATTTTCAAATAGTTTTTTTCTCTAAAATTTTAGTATACTCTCTCTCTAAAACTTAAAAATTGAGATAGTTTGTCTATCTAATTTTTTTAAATAGTTCCTCTCTCTAAAAAACTTAAGTACTTTCTCTATCTTGAATTTCATATAGTTTATCTCTCTAAAGTTTTAAGATATTTTCTCTCGTGAAAACTTAACATTTGAGATAGTTTCTCTCTCTAAACATTTTCAGGTAGTTTCTCTATCTAAAATTTGATATAATTTCCAATCTCCAAAATTTTAATATGCTCTCTTTCTAAAACCTAAAATTTGAGATAATTTATCTCTCTAAATTTTTTGAGATACTTCTCTCTAAAATTTTTTAAGTAGTTTCTCTCACTAAAATTTAATGTAGTTTCTCTCTAAAATTTTAAGAACTTTCTCTCTCTAAACTTAAGATTTGAGATAGTTTTTCTCTCTAGAATTTTAATACGGTCGCTAGTTTTTCTCTCTAAAATTTTAATATGGTATCTCTAAAACTTTAAATTTGAGATAGTTTCTATTTCTAAAAGTTTGAGATAGTTTATCTCTAAAAAAATTCATATATTTTCTCTCTCTAAAAAAAATTGTATGCTTTCTCTCTATAAATTTTGATATAGTTTTCTACTCTAAAATTTTAATATGTTTTCTCTTTCTAAAATTTGATATAGTCTCTCTCTCTAAAATTTTAATACTTTTTTTGTTTTGTTCTTCATCATCAAAATGAGTCATTTCCATGAAATATCAATTCATCATCAAAATGAGTCATTTCCATGAAATATCAATTCTACCTATATTTCCAAAATTTAGGCTTAAAATTAGCATATTTAAATATCCCATGAAAATCTCAAAAGTGATACTTAGACATTTGGCTCCAAAAAAAAAAAACCAAACCGGTCCTGAAAGAGATATTTTCAAAATGGGTGCAATTGGCATACAGAAGCATATGCAGGTGTAGAGGTAAGGTACACCTTCAAATTTTATCATGGTATATAATTTTGATATAAAATATTTTTAGGATTATTTTAAAATCTATTTTTATATTTAATTATAAAATTTTTAATTTCAAAAATAGTTAAAATCAAGATCTATAAACGTATGAAAATCTTGAAAATGAACGGTGTAGATAATATGTTATAAAATATACTATTTTTAATAATATGTTATAAAATACACTATTTTTAAGACTTAAAATCTTTTTATTTTTAACAGTCATATATTTATGTTTAAGACTTAAAAATACATCTTGATATCGAGATGATCGATTTTTCAACATTAAAACTTTTTATTTTTTAGTTTTATTTTTAAAAGGCCTCCGTAGACCTACATCATAAGGCAGCATCCTTATATAAACTTTTTCCTTCAAAACTTTCCCATTTCTCGTAGTAGCGGTGGCAGCTGCGGCGACCAAAAACCACGCAAGCAACCGGCTTTTCTGGAGGACATCAATGCAGTAAAGGCAGTCAAGGGTATTTTAGTCAATTGACTCGGATATCTTCTCATAGTTTGTGTGGCCGAACTGAAACTACTTTTGTAAAGAAGAGACGCCAGCAAAGACTCTCCTCTTGCTCTTCTTCCCCTTCTCCATTCTTTTATAGGGGAGAAGAGTATCAGGGAGGGAGGAGAATAAACTGAAAAACCCTAAAATTCCATTTGCAAGAAAAGAGGATCAAAACCCTAATCGGCCAAATTCATGGCCATGTATTCTACAGTCCAGGCGTCCCGCCTCCACACTCCCACTTGTCCTCCTCATCGTTCTCCATTGTCAAAAGGACACCGTGTTTCTCTCTCTAAACTCTCACGAGCTAATCTGTCTATCTACAAATTTGGGTCATTCGTTTCTTCTCGCTCTTTGGAGTCCCGGCACCATGGACCCTGCAGTGTTCGTGCATTCTCGTCTGAATTCCTGAACTCTGGCCAAGAAGTCGCCGGGGATTTCAGCCATGGAGTTGCAGAGCACAATGGCGACTCGGAAAATGGAGATGCAGAGGAGAGAGAAAGCTCTTTGGTCAATGATGGGGCTCTTATGGAAAGTGGGCCGTTACCACAGATGGTGCAATTGCCAGTTGGAGCATCAGGAAGAGAGAGAGAAGGTGTTGGTAAGTTTCCGGACTTCATGTTTTTCACTGGTGCGATGGCTTCTATGGGGAGGCGGTTAATGGATTGGGGGAGTTGGTGGCCATTTTGGAGGAGAGAGAAACACTTGGAGCGCTTGATTGCAGAGGCAGATGCCAACCCTATGGATTCTTTCAAGCAGAGCGCATTGCTAGCCGAACTCAATAAACACTGGTATGATTATGAGCTGGCTACGATTCATGACGGTTCCATGTAATTTGCTTGTTTCTATTTGATATGTAAGTGCAAGGCTGCTTTACATCTTGGTGCTTATTGTAATTAAAAAAAAAAAAAAAAACAAAAAAAAACTAACTTGCAAGAAGAACACTGTAAAAATAACATAGGAAATTAAAGAACCATGTCAGAGATTGTGGTATTATTGAAGATTAACCAGGTTAGTTTGAAGGGCAGATGGTAGAGGAGGAGTGGTGGGGTTTGATATGCCTAACGACCCTAGAAAGTTTTAATAGGCTGATTTCCTTTTGAGACCATGTTGCCATAGGATGGTGTGTCTAGGTGAAGAGATAATTGTTTTGGTGGGGGACGGCGTTTTTCTCTCCAAGAAGTAAATTTTGAAGGTTTCCTTGGTTTTCCAATCTTGAACATGAGAATAAGCCACTGTCAGAGTTCAAACTACTATCCTGGTTGTAACTACTTGGAAGAATCAAACATGCAGTTGGTTTGTAACTGATCTTGAAACTTCTTCAGAAAAGTAGTTTTATTCGGTGATTAAACTGAAAAGAAAGAGATATGGGTGTTTTAAGTTGTTTTTAAGTTGCTTTGTTGTCGAACACTATTTCTCGTTCTTGGCTGGATCATGGATGTATTGATGCTGTATCTTGAAGAAACTGCATTGTGAAGAGTTGTCAGTTGCATGCAGGAGTTGGTTTACTGATTTGTTTTGCTTATCCATATCTTTTAGCCTCAAATCTACTCCTTGTTTGTTGGATGCTTGGGTTCGTAGAATGTTGGAGTAATTCCGATTTGCATTGTATTTTAAATCCTACTGGCTGAATTTTCTTGTGAAGGTCAATCAATACATTGCATCCTGCATAATGATATATTCGTCATAAGAACCTCTTCTCAACATAACATCTTCAAATTTTTTTTAGACAACTTTAAACAATAAATGAACATGTCGAATATGATGGTTGATTGTAGGCTTCATACTTCATACCTTTTGTATCGTTTTTTCTTTTAATTAATTAATTATTTATTTTGTTGCTATACTTTAAGATACTTTTTTTTTTTGGTGTTGTCAACTTTGTTGTTGATAGTCCCGAATCAGTTATAAAACGTTTTGAACGAAGGGAACATGCAGTAGATAGCAAGGCCGTTGCAGAATATCTTCGTGCTCTGGTTGTCACAGACTCTTTATCAGAATATCTTCCAGATGAGCGCTCTGGAAAACCTTCAAGTCTTCCTGAACTGGTAATTTTATAACTTTTGTGGCTTACACACCTTGAAAACTTCTGTTCCTTTTTTTAGAATTTATTTGTAATGATTGAAACTTAAGATCTTCGTGCAAAGTTTGTGAACTTTTGAACACATTTCATATTCTATTGTGTTCTCGAACTGGTGTTGCTTTTCTTTTTTTTGATAGCTATAAAACTATTGTTACTTTGCATGTATGTCTTTGCATAGTTCGATTGTTTTAATATATCTGAAGATTCCAGATTGTGTAATACCTTGATGCACATTAATTTGCACAGAACCATGAAAGGGGCAACTTGTACTCCTTTTATATAAATGGCAACTTAACTAAAGGCAAATCAAGTACAGACATAACTGGTAAAAAGAAAAAAAAATGAGAAACACAGAGCAAGGGCAACTGCTAATTTTGTACATCATCTCTAGAGGAAATCACCTCTCTGTGGCAGACTGACCTTGCTCTAGGTCTTCCACTTCTTTATGTGTAGGAGCCCCTGCCTCCCTTTGAGTAAAGGACCTACCTTTCTCTCTCTGGGCAGCAGCCTTTCCAGTGCTGGTCGATTGCAGAACACATTAGATCTCTTATCTCATCTTTTTAGATAAGAGAGTCCAATGCAAGAGATTCTACAATTTCTCTTTCTTTGAAATCAATGTGAGAAAGAACTGATTGTTTACTCACCGTCTTTTCTCTCTCTAGAATCCCCTTCTAGAGGTACGTGGGTTCTTGATGTAGGATCAAAGGGGCTTGGCTCCTATATGATTGTAACAAGCAAGCTGGGCTTAGAAAGAAAGGATCTTGGTAAGAATGGGAGTCCCAATTCCAATAGGATTGGGAAATATGAGGTCTAAATGGGGTAGGATTAAGCTAAGGTAATAGGATGGGTTTTGGTATGACTGGGACAATAATTAGGGATCGATTTAGATGGTGTTATAGAGGTTAAAGTTGCTGGAAAATTGCAGGCTCATCAAGGATAATTGATAGCTTTGAAGGGAATGAGATGAGATTAGGTATTTAGGGCTAATTTAGGTTTTCTGTGATCAGGGGTATACATAATGCGTCTGGGAAGGTATCAAGCTATGTTGTTAAGGCTTGGGAAGGGTTGCTTGATGGGGACGAATAGGTTGTAGGGAATCTTGGATGGGGGGACTATTTGCAAGAGGAAAATAAGAAGGCTTTTGTTTGGTGAAGGAAGAACTCCTCCAAAGATGGCCTCACACCACCAAAAGAAAGAACTCAATCTTTATTATCACCTTCACTTTTGACTGAATTGGCCATGGGCCTACATGGTTATTAGAGAGAGTTCCAAGTTCTATTTACCCTATACTTTAACTATTGAAAGCATAGAAAACAAATTCCTAGATGCTTTAGGAAGCTATCCGATGCAAACATTTTTAATCCAATAGTATATGAACCTTATTTTCTAGAAATCATATAACTTAAAGAAACCAAATTCCAAACCAAATTGCAATATGGACTCAATTGTGGAAAGAAAGAAACTTAAAACCCTAAGGGACAGACAATTCATTACCTTTTATCCAGCAAGCTTGTTACAATTATATGGGTCACAAAACACTCAAATTAGGGAATTCTTAGATAAAGTAGTTTTAGATCTTGATAGATCTTCTATTCAAGCCACAGGCCACCCCAAATGGACATCTGGGTGAAAGTTATGCCTCTGGAAAGCAGTGTGCATTATTTCTATTTCTATTTGTCATTCTTGTTGAGGAAGACCATATTTGCCATCACATTTCTCCACATGAAACCATGTACTCACATACTTCAATGCCCTCGGACGCTTCGCTTCCTCTAGTGCCTGAATGAATCCAGAGCCAGAGAACCTTGAGCGGGGGGATCAACAGTCGAAATCTTTGGAAGCATGACGGAGGTAACCTTAGCTGGAACGCTCCTCACCTGGATGTGGAGTTCATGCTCTCATTCCGGTCTGGAATTGACGCGGTTTTTCTTGACGAAATACACAAACCCCAGTCCAGTGCTTAATGATGCTTTGATAGCAATTGTTTTGTTGTGGAACCCTCAAATGCAGAAACAAAAATAATGAGATCCAACTCAAATATCCATGGAAACATCCCTCACTGTGGCAAACTGGCCTCTTTCTCTGTGGGACTTGTGAGAACCCTCACCAGTATAAAATCTGGCTGGGGTTATAATTCTGAGAGACCACTTCTGGTTGCTATCTTTCTCATTTAAGAGTATAAACTTTGGGTGGCCATCAAGCTGGTGGAGGCACTGGTTCTGTCAGACTGGCCTAACTGCACTGGTTCATATATAAGAATATCTTACTCAGGACTGATACCTATGGTGGAATAGTTGCCTTAACCAGCTGACAGGGGTGAGCAAGGGATAAAGGTGGTGGTGGATTTGTGGAGAGCTATTAGCATTCCATCTAGTTTTCTGGTGATTCCTTGCTAAGATATGTTTTTGCATCAACAACCAAGTGAATGCAGACAGGAACTCATCATAGCAAGTAACTTTACAGTTTGCGTGTGCTACAATGGAGCTCTTTGAAGCTGTGGGGTGCATCAGGGTATCCTCCCAATGTCTTCCATTTAGGGTGAATTACACATAGTAGAGGTCCATAGCACCTTGACCATGTGGAGGTTCATTGCACTGCCACTGGCATTTCCCTACATTTCTCTGCCCTGTGCTGCTTTAAACCTCAACAGCGGAGGCTGCCACTGAACCATAGGTTGTTTGGCTTTGGAATAATTGAATAAATTGCTTATCGCTTGGGATCCTTGCTGATGGCTGTCTGTTGCGTCACTTTGTATAGCTAAATTTCTAATCTTTCATTGATATTGAAAGCTCCCAGGGTCTCCTTTGTCCAACAAGCGTTTCAGCTCGTCTGCTGGGGTTTATGTCGAAGCAATTAAGTATCTAAAAACTTGGGGATCCTGTGGATCTGGTTGTGGCAGAATATCTAGATTTGAACTAGTGATGCTTTGATAATGTTTTTGCATGGTTGTAGAAAAGCTAATGGGATTATGGACTCCTTGCATCGGTCTAGGTTGTTAGGGAATTTTTTATTTTATTGCTTAGGACACACACACACACACTCTCTCTTTTAACTGCTACCTCTGTAAAGTTGTTCTATTTCTACCTCTTATATGTTATTCATATCGAGAGTAGAAATAAGAAACGGTTGACAAAGTAGTCACTTGTCTTATGTGTATGTTGGAAGTGCCCCTTGATCCCAACTCCAATAATGGAATTTCTTTAGAGGTGTGGTTAAAACTACTTATTGCGGAAATCAGCATGTTTCAAGTTACAACCTCTACTTCAGAACTCCTGAACAGGAGATATTTACCTTAGTATCAAAGGAAATAGAAAGAATAACAATGATTATGTGGCTTTTACATTCAGTCATCCTTTAATGAACATTCATAATGGGACACTTTAATCTATCTATTTCTATTATGTAACCAAGGTACTTTTTTGGCCTTTGTGGCTGTTCAGACTTGTAGGAAACCTGAATTTATTCTCCCAACCATGATTTGACATTTATGTTCATGATCCATGACGACCGAGTAGTTCTTGTACTGATCTTTTGTTCTGTACAGTTGCATGAGTTGAAGCAACGTGCAACAGGAAATGCAAATGAGTCCTTTTTGAGCCCTGGCATATCTGAGAAGCAACCACTACATGTAGTTATGGTAAGTGGTACTACGTTGTAAACATGTACTAATATATAGCTGCTGTTGTTGGTAAAATGCTGTAATGTTTTGAAGAGATGTAAGTTTGCTTGTATCACAACAAAAGATGAAAGCTTATGTGAATAGCTGCTTCCTTCGTTTCATTCCCTGATGTTGATAGGATTTGTTTATGCTTTTATGTGGTAGGTGGATCCAAAAGCATCGAACAAGTCAACTCGTTTTGCTCAAGAACTCATCTCAACCATCCTATTTACAGTTGTTGTCGGATTCATGTGGTAAGCTTGCTCTAATGCCATTCGACATGATTATTTCAATATTGTTTGACCACTTCTAGGTTTTTTCTTTCAGATACTCTTGTATATTTCCAAATGCTATGTCACACAACCTTTCCATACTACTTTTCCTTCCTTTTTTAATAATCTATTTGATAGTTAAGCTATTTTGTGGCACTGATGGTTAAAAATATTATATTATGCCAATTGAACTTAGAATTCAATCCCAATATCAGTTGTGCTATTTCCTTCATCAAAATGGGTGAAAGTGACATCCTAGTCATCTAATTAGTTTTACTGGATTTGGTGCTTTCACACCTGAAGTTAACTGGTATGATTAAGAAAGCGTAAGTATCCAATTCGTCATAGGGGGTGTTTCCGATCATGAAGAACTTCTTTCAGTTTGCGATAAGAAAAATACAGCTATGATTTCAAGAATGATTGCAGGATCATATAAGTCACTTCTCTTTGGAGTGTTTGCTTCATTTGCAATGTGACTTGTGCTTCATTTGTCACTACTGAATTTGCAGTTCTTGATGGGTCGGCTTGATTGTGTAACTGTGTCATAAGTATTTAGGGAAAAGTTTTACTTGTAAGATTAACAAAAAAAGAATGTTTTGGCAGAAACCCAATCTTTCTGGCGAGAAGTAAGCATATGGCTTTCTTTTTGGTCTATATTTGAAGCTTATTGTTGATTTATGCTTGATTATGCATATGCTTAAGTAGGTATGAATGGTGGTGTTGTAAAATTTCATTTGGAACTATGTTTAAAGTTCCTAGATCTCTAGGTTTAATGTCTGTACCATAAATATTATCTTGTATGTGATGCTCACTGACTGGAGTTATGGATCTTTGCTGTTGTAAGGGTAATGGGTGCTGCTGCCCTTCAAAAGTATGTGGGTAGTTTAGGTGGAATCGGCACGTCTGGTGTTGGCTCAAGTTCTTCGTATTCTCCAAAGGAATTGAACAAAGAAGTTATGCCGGAGAAGGTAATACGGATGGATATGGATGCTGTCTTCATTATATGTGTATCTTAGTTTATGAAAAACAAACTGCTGTCTATTATGACAGTTAGGTATGCATCAGCTATATACATGTGATGTCTTATTCAATTTCAACATTTGTTAGGGCTATCACTTTTCAAGTTTCTTGGTTTATTGCCAGTCACTAACTAATGGATTCATTTCCGCTTTAAAGTTTAATGCATTGTCTGACAAGTGTAATATACTCAAACCAAACACAAGTTAATATTCTGTAAATGGAAGTATCTGGAGGAGCGTCGTTCAAACTGAACCATGGTATTTCCTAGCATAAAACCTTCCAAACCTTTGACATATGGTGTTGGAGAGAGAGTGAGACCCGCCAAAACATGACATGGCCCAAATAGGTCTCGCTTTTCCTCGAAAACCGTCCATCGTCGATTAGATAATGCTAGGCATGAAAATATCAAATGCAAGTAGAACTGGGTTGCACCTGATAAGTCCTTCTCATTTGATTATCTCATGGTTTGATTGGATGATACAAGCATCTGCTTGGGCTTGTTATAGAACATGAACAGCATATGAAAGGAAGACTATTGTAAAAATTAAACTGGTCAACAGACATAAACCAAAGGATATATTTTCCATACATTTACATTTCTTTGAATACCATGCCTTAGAGCCAGCAGATCAACAGTGATCAGTCTGATATTGCTGGAACCTTCTGCTTAATTGGAATGACATTGGTTTATTTCTTACACTGATAGTCAGCCCAGTGCAGCTTCTTACAGTTTCCATACACACTGCTGTGGCCTCAATTGCTATTGATTTTCAACCTACTGCTTTTTGTTGATCCTGTCTTTGAATGGTTTGATATAGTGGTTTGTTACTTTCGTTATATATACTTTTTTCTATATTCATTGATCCTTGACACCATCAACTGAACTGGCAGGCTTGGTGTTCGAGGACTCGGCTGAGTCACTCGGCCGTATGAGTTTGCTGTACAACTTTGGATTAGAAATATGATATTGTTTCTAACTTTCTATACAAGTTTTGTTGCTAAACAGTAATAAATGATGTATAAATATCTTTCTATATATTTTTGGTGTTTTATGATTATTTTGTGAAATTTTTTTATTATATGCTCCATTTTTTGTATTTTTCTTTTCTTATATTTTTCTCAATTGTTTTCAAATGTGAATCACTTTTTTCTGTATTGTGTCTTCTATTATACTTTTTGCATCTTTTACGGATTTTTAATTCTTTTTATAACATCTCTCTCTCTCTCTGCCAATTTTCTATATTTCATTTTTCAGTTTTAGCCCTTTCTGAGATCACGCAGGACTTGGATGAATCCTCGGACTTGCCCTGACTTACTTGGCCTGGCAGCGGCTGAGTCCCAGGCCCGAGCCGAGTTTTTTACATTGGGCAGGCTGGTTATGATAACCATAACCTTCATTTCCTATTAAATAGATATTGGAAGTTCAAGAAATTTGATGTATGAAATAAGAAGTATGAACCTTTTGTCTTTCTAGTCTTTTTCTTTCTTTGGTTGTTTTTGGTTGAATCCACTTCCTGAACTGGTTTAGATTCTGGTTACTACGAAATTTTTGATGCTGAAGTGGTATTCTCATGTGTCGCAGAATGTGAAAACTTTTAAGGATGTTAAAGGTTGTGACGATGCCAAACAAGAACTGGAGGAAGTAGTGGAGTATTTGAAGAACCCTGCAAAGTTTACTCGCCTTGGGGGAAAGTTGCCAAAGGTATGTTCGGGTTTTAGTCATCTCCAAGTTCATGCTCAGGCACTTTTGTTTACGAAGTATGTAATATCTACCATGAGTTTGACTTTGTGTTTTCCATTTAATGAAAGTTAATTTGAGTAAATGTAACTTTGTTAATATTTATGTCCTAATATTATTGTTTGTGTGCTGAATAATGTCTTTGTGTTTGCTAAATGTTTTCTTTTGGCAGTGCCATTAAACTTAAAGATATCCAACCTGATTCCTATGGGATGTTGACGCCTTTGTATTTGACATGCTTTCTTTAGTATCTAACAAGTCATCATTGAGCTCAATTGTATCCCACATATTAGGTTATTGTTAATAAAGGCCTTAATCTACTTGATGTTGTCATATTGTTGCAATTAGATATTTTAATTTATTTGTTATAACCTTGACGATAGTTGCAATGAATACACTCTTGTATCTAAAGCTTTGGCTCGGGGTAGGTCAAGGGTTCAAAGCCTTGACTTTTGACCCAAAAAACCGAAAAAGCTGACCTACCTTTTTTTTTGGCAATAAGAAAGATTATGATTGGCCCTTCTTTGTAGTTTCTCATGTCAGATGTCTTATTGTGTTGATTTGTTATATTGCGGTTTTCTTTATTGGGTGTTTCTCCAGCGTATTGTGTGTTTTGATTTTCTTATGCCTTTTTAATTGTTTCTAGCACTTACTGTCTTGCCGCAATTCCTTGCTACAGTAATAATATTTCTTTTGGGATTTAGAAAACCCTTAGTGTCATGATCATAATAAACTATAACAGATTACAAGAATGTGCTGCTTTAAATTGGGCACTTTTGGAATTCAACCTATTTGTTCTACCCATATAAATTTCTCTATCGTCCAGGAATTTTATATCACTACACAGAGAGTCTCACTCTAACCTATCCATTAATTGTACTCTAAAGGTCCTGGACCATTATGATTATATCATTGGGCAACATCTCACATATGAATTAATTGCAGTGCTTTACAATAGAAAGAACTGCTTGCAGATTTTGCTTTATTTGATAACTTTCAGCATGTCTTGCCAGTTCCAAATGGGGAATAAATACACATCCTTGGGCCCATACTGTAAATCATTTGTGCATGTTTCTTCCTGTTTCAAATCTCATAGCACCCAGATCTTGGCAATAAGCAACTTAAAATGCTCTTGTGAATATGCACTTTCAAACATCTCTTGAATTCTTTATTTTACTTATAGCTTACTAGTAGTAGGCCTTTATTACAACATTTAGTGTTTCCTGTGTCTGAATTTTATATTCTCTTGCTTATGTTCTATCCTTCTTATGTTTTAGTTTTTCTATCTATGTGCGAAATAATCTTGTTTGGTTAGGTCATGAATTCTGTGTAAATGAAATTTTTTTATCGTAGGGCATCCTCTTGACTGGAGCTCCTGGAACCGGTAAAACTCTTCTTGCCAAGGTGAGGATTATGTTTTTTAGACTATTTGCTCATTTTATTTATTTATTTTGAATATTGAGTTGGGACCTGGTACGAATGGAACCCAAGATGTCATGTTGTGGCTCTCTGTCATCCTGACTACCTTTGCCATGGGTCTATTCCTTCTATTTGCTCATTTCACGAAATATCTTTGAGTTTTAATAATGGTTTTTGTACCATGGATGGAGATCGTTTTTGGAAGTAAAAGATGATTGAATTTGATAGTTTATTGCAATATGAGTATGGGTAACTTTTACAAGAAATTATGGCTTTTATTTGTGATTCTTTATTTGAAAATATTAAATTAATGATAGATATCTAGTAACATGTACACTTGGCCATTTTAGATTGGAATTTTATGAAACATCATTTGATGTTATCTTTAATTCATCATTATCATCATCATCCAAACCTTATTCCAACTATTTGGAGTCGGCACTTTGGAGTCGGCACACGGATCCTATCATACCATTCCACTCTATCAACAGCCATACCATTAGTCAGATTATAAGTCACCATTTTCTTCTAATTACTTCCATCCATGTCCTTTTGGGCCTTCCCTTGCCTCTTTAGTCTTCCACCTGAACCGAATCACCCCTCTTAACTGGTGCTATTCTAGGCGGATTCCCTGATCGCCTATCGGAGCCATCCCCTAAGTTCCCTTTGATGCCTTCATTCCGGATTCTATCCTTTCTTGTCTTGCCACTTATCCATCTGAACATCCTCATCTAAGCTACACTCATTCTGTGGATATGTTGTTTCTTGACTGCCCAACATTTTGTCCCATAAATCATGGTTGGTCTTACAACCGTCCTATAGAACTCCTTTAGTTTCATTGATATGCTTTTATCTTTAATTCTTATTTTATTATTTACATTTTTTGGAATATTTTGTATTTAAAAGAATCCTAGAGGTGTATATCATTGCTATTAATGTCATGTCAAGTCCATTGATGCACTATGCATATGCCATTATATGGAAATCATAGGTTAAAATAATCATGTTTGAATGCATAACTGCGCTTCTTAAAAACTCGATGCCCAGTGTTTCATACAACTTATGATTGACAATGCCTGACCATGGCAGGCTATTGCTGGAGAAGCAGGAGTACCCTTCTTTTATCGAGCTGGTTCCGAGTTTGAGGAAATGTAAGTCTGCCTTCTATTTCTTTTTTGTATATTGAGGCAATAAGTTGAGGCTTGAAAAAGTATGCCATTTTTTTTTTTCTTCCAGATAGGTTTTCTTGTTTTGATCCTAAGTTTATTCCATACGTCTTGCTTCTCGTGTTAATATGACACTTTTGTATGGATTAGCTAAATGCCTTTGTGTTATAATTACATGTTAGGTTTGTTGGAGTTGGAGCTCGCCGTGTTCGATCTTTGTTTCAGGCTGCCAAAAAAAAGGTACTATTACCAGATTGGTGAATAGAATTTTAGTTTCAATATCAAGAGCACTTTTGGCCTGGTCCTCATAGAATTATTATTCGACAATTAGTTGATTATGTTTTGGGATTTTTAAAAGAAGTTTTTTTTTTTAAGTTGGTTTTTAAGAATATGAACCAAGTTTTTTTTTCCTCTCTCCATGTGGGGGCTTTCTGGAGTGGCAATAGACTCATTTGCCCCCCTTCTAAAGCCAAATTCTGGGTGAGAGGGTGAGAGAGAAGGATGAGTAGAGAGAGAAACATGGGTACAGTGAGAGAGATGGTTTGAGAGAGAAACAAGGGACATGCAAATGAGAAGCTTAATTCTATTGAGAGGTGTGGTGAATGTTAGGCCTTGTGCTCGTACAATGCCAATGGGTGTTTCACAAACTGCCTGATTCTAGGAAATTATTTGGAAGCCCACTTCCCTCTCTTCCCTCTCTTCCCCCAAAACCCACATACACAAAAATCCACTCTCTCTCTCTCCCTCTCTATCTTAATAAACCCTTCTATAAATTTGGATAAAAACCCATTCTCCTAGTGGTATATTTTTTGATTTATGATTTCAATTAAGGCAGTTCTATTATGAATTGGGGGACAAACTGGAAATTGGAATCACATATGCTCTTTAAACATTCAAACTTTGAAGCCATGGGAAGGGGACTTCCCTAAATTCATTTGGAAACTCAAAACCCATCTGAATTTTTAAAGCGTTTATTACATGTCTCCTCATTTCTCATTCTTTATCTCCTTTGAATCAAAAGTTTTGGAGAGAAGAAAATAGGTTGGCTTTTTAAATAGAAATACAAGAAACGGGATGAACATGTTTGATTTTTTGAGAGAAACTTGGGTTAAGAGGGAACACGGTTTATAGAGAGAGGAAGAAAGAAAGGGGAGCACTTAATATATTGTATATAAGAGGCAAGGTTTCAAAAAATGCTAGGCGGCCAGCCGGGTGCCCAACGCTTAGCGCCTAGGCAGGCGCCCAAAACGTCGAGCGCCCTTTAATACTAATTCCTAGGCTATTTTCATATTTTTGCTATCCAAATGCATATTTGTGTCAATTTTATAATTTATTCCATTTGAAAATATTGCAACATACGTTGTTATCTACAAACATATGACATTGCATGTTGAGAATAAACTTGTTCAAAATTTCAAACCATACAAAATATTTAAAAGTCTAATAGATGGTCTCCAACTCTCATATTTTCCATATTTTATATGCATAAAATAAACCATAATAAGTTAATAACATCCAAGTCTCCAACTCTCGAAGTCTTCAACAAACTGACTTCCAAAACTACAAAAAACCACACAACAAAATAGTTCAAAAAGGCAAAATAAGTATAAACCACATAACAAAGTAGTCCAAATTTCTAAAGCCCAAACCAAGATGGTGCAATAAAGTTACTACAAAAGAAGAGAGAAGACATCAATAAAAATCAAAATCATCATTTTCATTGCTTGCATCTGCATTAGAATCGAGGCCGTCATCATCAGAATCATCACCCTCTTCACTATATTCCTCTTCTTCCAAAGATTCTTCTGAATTTGCCTCCTCTTCCTCTTTCTCCCTCTATGAGCGAGAAGTACCAGCAGAAGTCGTTGCTCGAGTGGCCCTCCTAGGAGTAGAAGCTTGCCCCAAAGCCTCCTTGACCATTTCCCATGTCAAACCCTCCCAAGGGAAGACTTCCTCAGTACGAGGGTCACCAATTAGCCAATCTGAATCATTCTCTATATCTTTCGAAGAGATGAGATCCTTCTTTGGTTGGGTTTTCTTCTTCTTGAGCCTTTGATTCTCTCTAACAAAAACCAAATCGTTGAGTTTCTTTTGCTCAAGCCTATTTCTTCTCTTTGTATGCACCTATAAGGAAATATGCATCAGTAACGACTATGAGTCTATGATCTTCTTACCTTCTATGAATCTATATTAGAAAAATGAACTTTTAAACAAGAAAAGCATATAAAATCGTAAAATAGTAAAATACCATCTCAAATGAACTCCAATTGCGCTCACAACCAGAAGAGGTAGTTGTCAAACTCAAGATCTGTATATGGCCACAATATGTGGGCAACCTTTATAATTAATTTAGGTATTAACATTATCACACATAATTTTAGGAACTTGAAACTTGAAAGAAAATTATAATTTATAAAACAAAAGTACAAAGCATATTACTTGGTTTGTCTTTGTTTTTCTGTCTTGATGCCGTATCTTTCCCGAATAACATCAAAGAGCACTTGAGCGAAATAAGCTCTTCAGTTGATGTCTTATCTTGGATCTGTGGATCGAAAACTAATTTATCAAGGCGCTCATTAAAACCTTCCATAATTATCCCTTTTGACTCAATATGAGCATCTGCATAAAAGAATTTGGGGTTCAAGTAGTACCCGCTACATGCTATGGTCTATGGAGCTGCCTATCCCACTTGTCATCTCTAATTGCCCAAATTGTGTTGTACTTGGCTGTATCATTGCCCAAATTTTTTGCAATCTCATTCTTAGTCCTTTCCATTGCATCATATATAAAGCTCATGGAGGACTTATCAGCATCAACCAAGCACAAGACCTTCACTAAGGGAAGAAATATTAATATCACATGCTTCACCCCATGTCAAAAATATTCGAAAGAACAATATCTCGTGTCTTCTTTCCCTTGGCATCTCTAGATCACTCACTCCTACTCCACTCTTCTGAAGCAAACATAGACCTTAATGCAATCCTTCTCCTATATATGTTTTATAGACTAAGGTAAGCAGTGACAAATCTAGTGACCCTAGGCCTCACTAGCTCTCTCTTCTTTATAAACTTGCACATCATGCTATTATGTGGCTGTATATGAAGATTGTAACCTCTTTAGCCTAGGAAAGAACTTCTTGAATAGTAGCTAAGTCACCAATGGCCTCAAGCATAAGATCTACGCAATGTGCAGTGTAAGGAATCTAAAATATACGAGGCCTCTTCTGTCGAAGCAAAATGACCTGCAACTAGATTGAGAGTAGCATTATCTGTGACCACTTGAATTACAAGTTCCTCCCCAACCTCCTCAATGCCCTTATCACTGAAAGAAAATATGTAATGAGAATCATGAATATCATTAGTAGCATCAATGGATCGCAAAAAAATTGTACCCGAGGGACAATTTACCAACAAATTCATGTTACTCCTCTTATCACTCCACATATCTATCATTAAAGAAATCCCAAATTTAGCCCACCCCTCTTTATGGGTCTTGAGATATTCGTTAATATACTCAACTTCTTTCTTCAATAGTAGCTCTCCAATCTCATATGGAGTTCGACCTTTCAAACCTGGCCCAAATTACTCAATTACTTCCAACATTGTATGGAAGCTATTCAAGCGAGCGTTGTTAAAAGAAATGCCTGCATGGTAAAACTACCGAGCAATATACTGAATCACCCTGCCTCTATCTTCCTTCTTAAATTTATTTTCAATTGTCACTTGTTTTTTCGCCTTTCCTCCCTTCTCTTTTTCAATTGCTGTCTCAGGGCTAAGCGTAAAAAAACTATCAATAGGCTTTCTCATATGAGGCTTCTTAGACTCAAAAGCCTTCTTACTCTTAGAGCTCTGAGTACCAACCATGGCTACCTCTTCTTCTCCCTCTTCATCATCTTCTTCAGTGTCAATATTGTCATAAAAAACATGGACCGCTAACTTTAATTTTGCTATGTCCTTTTGTTTTGAAATTTTTTTACTCTTTTCACCTTCAATGTATCTAGAAATTTCTTTCTTTACCAGCTCTGGGACTTTCTTACATGGGGCAACATCACCTCTAATACCGGTAGGATGTTTCTTAAGTCTATTTATGCCGGCATTAGAAACATGTCTACAAAACTTGCACATAATTTTATTCTTATCATTCTTATCCGGGTTAACACAATGTTACCATCCCGGATCTCCACCCCTTGTAGATTCCGCAGAAGACATATCAAATTAAAACAATAAAACTTAAATAAAGATTACAAACTGACCTTTTGTGCCCCATATCTGATCTTTGATGTTGGTTACCTCAATCGAGCTACTAATCAACTCAAAAGTTTTCTAATACCATCAATAACACTCTAAAAATAATTTCAATAAGAAAATAAAACTTTTTCAATCCACAAAAAATAATTTTGATTCTTAGAAATTATTTTAGATTCGCAGAAATACGTTTAACATAGAGATTGAGGATTTTTTTGTTTCATTTTGGGGGTTAAAAATAAACCCCATAATATATTTATATGATCTTGGAGCTCAAAATGACCCCCTTTGCCCTTTTGGGCGAGTTAAAAAAGCGAAAAAGGGCCTACGGCCTTGGGTGCCTGCTCGCCTAGCCCGCTTGGGCGCTCGCCTAGGTACATATGTCCGTGTAGGGCCGCCTGAGTCTGGGCGTGCGGTATTTTGGTCTAGGCCGCCTAGGTGCTGGGCCGACCATTTTTAAAACATTGATAAGAGGGGCAAATTGGTCATTCACCCCTTTAAAAAAGGCTCCATGCAGAATGGAGGGCCCAAGTTGAATTAACAAAAAAAAAAAATTTCAAAAAGGATTTTCTCTTAACAATTCCCATGATTTTAATCATCAGAAGCCTATGTTGGTTTGTGAAATATTTGTCCTATGTGACAAGAATACAAGATATGTATGTGCCTCAACAGTTTCAAAGTGCGCACTTGTCATGGACTACCCAGTTCTTAAAATATAAAAACAGGCACAAGAAACATAATTTTCTTCTTTTGCAAAAGCTGTTTATTGATACAAAAATATTCAGGGCGATGTTTTCATCTGATATTGTGTAGACTTCATAGCGTGAGGTACTTCTGGGAAAAAGAAATCATCATTGTAAAGGAATAAGAAATTAGACAAAGTAAAATAATGTAGAAATACCTAGGTATTCTACGACATATGGTACCAAGAAAATATATTTTTGAAAACAATATACTTGGTGGTATATTTCTTTTGAATGAATACATGGTTTCACTATTATATGTTATGTTGAACGTCTTGAGAAACAGCCCATGAATTTCCTCGGAATAGCTACTGTTTTGTTGATTTCCTACAAAGGTGGATAACACCTGAAGTAGTATTCTTATTTTCATCTAGTTGGAAGAGTCTTTTCACTATTGCCTCTTTCCATTAGAAAGGCTCTTGTCTTCGCAAAAGAATAGTTTGGTTGGCATTGCTTGACTTGATTACTTGCAAGCATGATTACTTGGGAAACAATAGTGATCTAGTTTGTCTTTTGCTTGCTCACATGCCACTTAAGATAGCTTTATTCTTTCTTAGTACCTCACGCAACTTGTTTTTTTTTTTCTGGTATGGGCAGCCTTAATGTCTTTTTGGGTAGAGGGATTATGATTTGGTGAGTTGTTATTTGTCTCTCTACTAGAGAATTCCTCTTGGAACTTAAGTGGATTTAAGCTTCAATTTTTTTGGTGAGTTGAATCCATTACAAGTGATGATAAATCATAACCATCATCATCATTATCATCATCATCATCATCATTAGAGCCTTTCCCAACTATTTGGGTTTGGCTACACAAATCGTGGTTTGCCATTCTGCTCTATCACGGGCCATACCTTTAGTGAGGTCATAAATCTCCATATATTTTTCACTACTTATAACTATTTTTTTTTGGGCCTATGCCTTACCCTTTTTGAGCCTTCCTCTTGAACCAACTTGCATCTCCTAACATGGGTTGTACTAGATCTATGCTGCACATGGCTAACCACCTAAGTCTACTTTTTCTCATTCTATCGCCTATTGGAGCCATACTTAAGTTCTTCAAAATTTATTCACTTTGAATGCTATCTCTTCTTGTCTTGCCACTCATATATCTCAACATCCTCATCTCTGCTACACTCATCCTATTGGTATGTTGTTTCTTGAACTCGCAACATTTTATCCCATAAAGCAATGTTGGTCTCACAGCTGTCCCATAGAACTTCCCCTTCATCTTCATTGGTATGCGGCGATCATATAAAACTCCGGTTGCACATCTACATTTCTCCCACCCAACTCTAATTCTATGTGCAACATCTTCTTCAATCTCTCAATTTTCTTGGATTATCGACCCAAGATATTGAAAGTGTACTCTTTTTGGTATTTATTGGCCGTCAATCTTAACTACTTCATCATATGTACTCCTATTATTACTAAACTTGCATTCCATATAATCTGTCTTAGTCTGAGTAATTTTAAAACTTTTAGATTCTAGAGTATCCCTTCAAAGTTCCAACTTTGTGTTGACACTGCTTTGAGACTCATCGATGAAAACTATGTCGTCCGCCAACAACAAACACCACAATACCTCATCTTGTAGGTGCCCAGTTAAGTCGTCCATAATTAAGACAAGAGGTATGAGTTCAATGCTGACCCGTGATGCAGACCTATTGTCACTGAAGACTCACTCGTCTTTCTACTAGTTGATGGCACACTAGTTACTGCTCCCTCATATACATCTCTTACCATGTTTATATAGTATTTGGAAACTCCTTTCTTTTGTAACACCCACCAAATTAAATCTTGAGGTACTCTATCATATCTCTAGGTCAATAAAGATTATATGGAGGTCTTTTCCCTTCGCCTTAAACTTCTTAATCAGTTGCCTAAGTAGGAAAATAGTCTCAATTGTTGACCTCCGTGACATAAAACCAAATTAGTTTTATGATACATTTGTTTCATGCCTCAATCGTTGCTCAATCAATCTCTCCCACAGCTTCATAGTGTGGCTCTGAAGTTCTAACAAGTGCTGATAAATATTAGTAAAAAAATATAATGTAGAAAAATGGAAGAAAGTATGTCCAACCAATGGGTTATCTAGTTTGGTCCAAACCATAGTTAGCAAATCGCTATTTAATCGGCGAATTTTTTTAAAAATTGGCATTTTTATGGAAACAGTTTTAAACGGCGACTTTTGAAAGGCCAGGAAAAAGTCACGTAGTTTTCATAAAAACGTTTAAAACGTGCTTTTTTCATAATCCGATTGAAATTAGGCAAAAAAATCACATCTTTTATACCTATAGTTTTTTGTTTGAAAGATAAATTTTTTTTTCCTGTTTTGTGTATTGCAGCCATTGCTACTTTCATGCTTTTGAAAAAAAATATTATTTAAAAAAATCCTAAGATAGAAATTTTTATCCCCACTATGTTCTTCAAAGCCATAGTTGCATATTGAAGGTATAAAATTTTTTTTTCCTTTCTTTTTTAAACTTAAACAAATAGATGCAGATTTTAGTGTTATTATGGAAAGTCATTGTGTAAATGAAATACTGTTTATAGCAAATCATTTTGTAAAGTAAATCATTGTGTAAAGAAAATCATATACATGCAGATTTCTGTGATTATTTGTGATAATTGTTTTTATGAAAATACTGTTTGTGGCACAAATTAGGGCTCAAAACATAGTCTTTTACTGATGAATGAGAAGCAGAGAGTGTGACTACAGGACCAAGTAATCAACATTTTGCTTTTGATTATGTGATAACGAAGATAAACAATATACTGTAAATTGTAAACTTATAGAAGCAAGCAATTGTACATATAGGATTAGTTCCCCAAACCTAATCCTTCAGCTCTGTTGTTGTTTCCCCAAGAAAATGGAAAAAAGCCTCTTCCTTTTCTCCCTCTAAAATCAGTTAGGGCCTCTTGACAAATCAATATAGTTAGGGCTTTCTCTCAAAACAACATCCCAAATGAGAGAGAAAAATCCTCTTCAAACTATCCCAAATCAGCATCCCATCTTCCTTTTCTCTTTCTAAAAATCAGTTAGGGCCTCTTCCATTAGGGTTTGTGGAGCCCATGACCTATTCCTTCTTCCTTCTTCTCTCTCTATAAACCTTGGCTATGAGCCCGCCCTATTTTCTTCTCTTCCTTCTTCCTCCTGTCTCTAAACCGTAAACATAGAGATGTGAAACCCAAATTTCTGCAAGCTTCTTTTCAATTAAAGAAATTCATAAAACTTTAACCATAGTTAACCATAGTCACCATACTATAGTTAAATCTTGTAATGAGAAAACAAAAATCGTGTACTTTTTTTTGGTACCTGCCAAGTAGGTATGATGTTTAAATATTTAATGGATAAATTTATATGGTATACTTGTCACCATACCATAGTTAAATCATTTAATGAATAATTTATATAGTATATTTGTTTTTGGTATGTAATAAGTAGGTGTGATGTTTCTTAAAGTATTTAATGGGTAGATTTGTATGGAACAAATTTTTTTTGGTATCTACTAGTTAATTATGTATTTAATATTGGATGATTGCATGAGAGTCACGAGGCATCTAAATTAATTGACTTAATTATATTAGTCTGGTAAAGTTTTTATAGATGAATTAGTTATTGATGGCTTTGACATAATTTTTATTTTTTAGAATTTCAAAATTTCTAATATTATAAATTTATCCGATTTTTTGACTTCGATTTTTTGAGCCTAATCCGATATATTAGCAATATCTTTATATGAAGTAATTTTGCCGATCTGTATATTTTACCTGATTTTTTCATCCGACTTTTTAAAATAAAAACGAATTGTTTCCGATTTTATGGTGAGCCGATTTATTGATAGTCCTAGACTTGCTAACTATGGTCCAAACCAGTCCTACCAAATGTCCAACTTGTTGAAAACCAAAGATCTTATGTTAAAGATTATCTTTTATTATATTCTATTTTTCTTGTGGTATTTATGATATTTATTTTGTTAAGCTGGGGCCTATATGATTCATTCGTGAGATTATATTTAATTTGGATAGGTTGGTATTGACCATGTTATTGCTCCACTGTTTGTAGGCACCTTGCATTATTTTTATTGATGAAATCGATGCTGTGGGCTCTACAAGGAAGCAATGGGAAGGTCACACAAAGAAAACATTACATCAGCTGCTAGTTGAAATGGATGGATTTGAGCAAAATGAGGTTTGCCTAATTCTTTTATGACCCAGAGGTTGGCCTAATTCTCATGCTGAAACTATGCTCGACTCTTTTGTTTTTATGTGCTGATCCTTGGGTTACTTCATATGTAGGGCATAATATTGATGGCTGCAACTAACTTGCCTGATATACTCGATCCAGCTTTAACAAGGCCTGGGAGATTTGACAGGCATGTAAGTTTTATTGATCAATTGGTTTTTCCGTTGGGTTGGTTTGTTTCTAAATAAAGTAAGAATAATTAGTTATTATAGACTTACAGCCCATTTATGTGATTGCTGTAAGTTAACCATGTTATCTTGAATGCGATATGCTTGTTTGGGAAATTACTCATTGGTTCTGTGCAACTTGTGCGTGCAAGTTTCTGATGACTGCTTTGACGATTGAAAACTATTGAATGATGCCTTAGTGATACAAGGAAGCCATTCGCCATGTTCTCAAGGACACATGATATTTACTATTGTGTCCACTACTTTCTGCAAGAGAATAATCTCCTTGGGATTGAGAGTTACAGAGAATATACAAAGTTTCTAAAAAATGTTCTGTAATACTCTGCAATTTAATGTTAACCTATCTCTCAAAAAAAATACTCTGCAATTTATTGTTTGCAACCTGGCATGTTATTATGATACTGTTGCTTGTGTAGAACACATCTTACAACAATATAACACTTATGCATATAGTGAAAATTCGTTTACTAATTCCATGATTTGGTTGCTAACATGCAATTGATTTATAAGGCCTGATGCCTTGAGTACCTTCCGCTGTGGAAAACAAAACATACATTCTTCCATATGGTTTTGGGGTTTGAATGCTCATTGTGGGGCACACGGGCATTACAGCCATAGAGGACCACTCTCATCTGGCTAATGGCTGATGAGTTGGCCACATGGCAGTCTGACAGATTCACAATCTTTGCCTAGCCAAAAAAGAAAAAGCTTTTGAGGTTTTAACCAGAATCCCATTTGATTTTGAATTTTCACCAAATTTTCATTATTTAGGATTTTGCCCCGTACCTGATCTGGTAATTGTTTTTCCTTGTTCACTTTAAAGACTCAGGAATTAGCCTACCTTTTCTAAATCTTGTAAGCAAGGAGATTATCAAGTGATATCTTTTACTTGTATTGAAGTTTCTTTGCTTTAGGTCTTCTTTGACATCGATTTTGTACCATGTGACTTCATTGTGATGTTACTAGTGTAATTCATGCACCTCCAAACCTATATTTTATATTTAAAAGATGAGGAAATGTATTGAGGTGGATTGCAACTTTATTAAGGAGAGATTTCTTTTTGGTGATGGTTTCATTTTTATCATTTTCTTTTATCTCTATTGTTGTTTAAGCAAGTGGTGCTAAAAAGTCGACCAACAGTCATTTTGTTATGGAGCAACATTAGGTCATACTCTCGAGGCCAAGCTTATCCACATCTAACAAGTCCAAAAAGAGGCTATCCATGTTCAATGGATTGGCATTACATGTCACGCAATGGAAGTCACTAGACATGTATTTTAGTCGAAAAAGTATTCGATGCTATGTTTCCTACAGTTAGCATCTCCCAACTGTCAGATGTACAAGAGATGGTTGGGGCCTCGACATTTCTTTGCTCAAAGCTCATAAAAAAAATCGACAACCTAATTACACACTTCATTAAGTTACCTGTTAACCCTACGTGTTATGACATCTAAAGAACCAAATTAATTGCACTCCAATTTCTTACATGTGAGAGGCAATTGATATTCCTTGTGTTTTCTTCATGTACACATGTCATCCTCTTTTCTCATTACTTGTGTATATGAGGTCAGATTCTTCCTTGTTACAAAAATTTTAAACTGATCGACTTACCCAAAAAGAAACATAATTGGAATAGATTAAAGCCATCTTGTCTTCTGCATGCTGCTAGCATCACTTGTGGGCAAAATTTCAAACTGGGATGTAGAATCATTGGGCATCTAATTCTGATGAAGCTTTTCAGATTGTTGTTCCAAGCCCTGATGTACGAGGCAGGCAAGAGATATTAGAGCTCTACTTGCAAGACAAGCCTTTGGCTGAAGATGTAGATGTAAAAGCACTTGCTCGAGGCACACCAGGTTTTAATGGCGCAGGTACCATGCCATCTTCTCTTAAAGAATTATAGGCACATCCATGAAGTAATGGAACTCAAATGATTGTGAATTCTACAATGTAGTGATTAAATGAGCTTACATTTTGACATAACATTTATTGTGGATTTTTGAGATTGGCTTTAGGCTGCAAGATTTGTTGGGAAAAAAGATGCCTAATTATCCATTCAGAAGTTATTCTTCAATGTTTACAAACATGCCTTACTTCCATAAGGTTATTCAACGTTGTTAACCTCTTTTCAATATACTTTTAGATTTGGCGAATTTGGTCAATATTGCTGCCATCAAGGGTGCTGTTGAGGGTGTTGAAAAGTTGACGGCTGCGCAGTTGGAATTCGCAAAGGACAGAATTGTTATGGGTACGGAAAGGAAAACTATGTTTGTCTCAGAGGAATCAAAGAAGGTAAATGAGCTAAAAGCTCTTCTGTCTATGGCTCTTTCTCTCTTCCACAGTGGACATATTTGTACACCTGACAGATTGTTGAATACTTTCAGCTTACTGCATATCATGAGAGTGGTCATGCAATTGTCGCATATAATACAGCTGGAGCACATCCTATTCATAAGGCAACGATCATGCCACGAGGATCTGCCCTAGGGATGGTCACCCAACTTCCTTCAAGTGATGAAACATCTATTAGCAGGAAACAGTTATTGGCACGACTTGATGTTTGCATGGGAGGGAGAGTTGCAGAGGAGCTCATCTTTGGTCCAGAACAAATTACAACTGGTGCCAGTAATGATATTCACACAGCTACTGAGCTTGCTCAGTATATGGTACTTCTTTCATCAATGAAATTTTCAACTATTTATTCTCCTTTTTCTTTGTTTCTTAGGAATTGCTATCTCGTCAAACATGATGTATGGAATGCATGGCATGTATACTACTGAATCATGAATGAAATTTCTGATTATTAATATTTCTTTGCTTTTTTCATTACCAAAGATGTTGCCTTGAATCTGACAGAAAATAATTTGATAACAAATTTTCAGTCAAATTCCTCATGGCAATTTGGACGAATGCTACTAAAAAGTTTAAATGGTTTCTAAAGAAGTATCTGTTTTCTGGTGAAGTATGTCATATTCTTAGGAAGATCATATTAGTTTCTTATATCATTCATTATTTATATTTCATTTTTTTTTATCGTTAGATAAGTTTAGAAATTCATTCATGTGTAAAAAAATATCATTTCTTTTTGATTGATTTGACTCATCAGAGAGGTTGGCAATTGGACAGACCCTCATCTGATTAAACCATGTCTGGTCCTTGTCACAGTGTACCAAGTTAAAATGGCAACTAAAACAAGTTCTTCTATACAATTTTTATTGTATGATAGCCAATGTTCTAAAAAGCGGTCTGCCGGGCGCCTAGGCGCCCAAGACACCTCTGGTTGCACGCGTAGACTTGGGCGCCACATTCTGGGCGGCTGTACCTGGGCGGCTGCCCAGGGACATGGGCTTTTTTTCGATTTTTAAAGATGCCCAAAAGGGTAAAGGGGCTAATTTTAACACCCAACAAGGTTTAAAAAGGTTATAGGGGTTATTTACAACCCCAAAGTTAAAAGAATACTTCCATAAGCACTCAATCTCTTAGCTATACCTATTTATGAGTATCAAAAGTATTTTTTGTGGAATCAAAAGTATGGTATTATGGAATAAGAGTTGAAGACTATTACTAATACATCGCCTATTAGACACTTAATTTTTTTAAAAATTTTGTATAGTTTGAAATTTTAAATTTTTAACAAGTTTAATCTCAACATGTGATATATCATATGTTTGTATATAATAAAGTATGTTACAATATTTTTAAATGCAATAAATTACAAAATTGACACAAATATATGCATATATGTGCGTTTGGACATCTCATATATGTATATATCTAAAGAATTTGTACTACAGGGCACCTGAGGTTTTGGGCATCAGGCCGGCCACCTAGGGGCCGCTTAGCGTTTTTTGAAACCTTGATGATAACCCAATATATTGGAGCCAAAAATCACCTTTGCTCCTTTCCCTGAGAAAAATAACAACTGTGGAGAGCCAAATGAAGAGTACATGGGTTCTCTAACCTTTCGCTGTGAAAGAGATGCAGATCATGAGGCCTGCGTCCAACTCTAACCCACTCATCTTCCGATTTCCAAATTACTGGAGTTATGCACTCCTATGTTGCTATGTAGGGTTTCTTATTCGCGAGTCACACTTGGATGTATTTCCTATTTTTGTTTTCTCTGCCTAATCAGCACAAACTACCCAGATTTTTGAGCGGCATTAGCCTAGTACTCTGGTTCAGTGGTGTATGGTTTGTAGTACTGGTTACTGCACATTAGAGTTGTCTGTCCAACTCTAACCCACTCATCTTCTGATTTCCAAATTACTGGAGTTATGCGCTCCTATGTCGCTATGTAGGGTTTCTTATTCGCGAGTCACACTTGGATGTATTTCCTATTTTTGTTTTCTCTGCCTAATCAGCATCAAACTACCCAGATTGTTGAGCCGCATTAGCCTAGTACTCTTGTGTATGGTTTGTAGTACTGGTTACTGCACATCAGAGTTGTCTGTAGAACCGTAGGACAGTATTGGTTATCTGCACATCAGGGTTGTCTGTAGAACCATAGGATGACGATAGAGTTATTTTATGTGATCATGGGAGGAAGTTGTGCACCCTTTGTTTTGAATATTTCAGTGTCCTGTTATGAGTTTCATTTGTTCAAACTTCTGTCACCTGCGTATCTCATTAGCTACATGTGTGCCAGGTATCAACTTGTGGGATGAGTGATGCAATTGGTCCTATCTATGTCAAAGAGCGGCCAAGTTCAGAGATGCAATCCCGAATAGATGCAGAGGTCTGCTTTCCTTGTGCTTGATCCCATCAACAGTTTTATGGTTTCTGCCTTTGTTATGCATGATCATTCAAATAGGTTTGTGGTACATATGTTCTTTAGATATCTGATGTTTGTATTCAAATACCTGCAGGTTGTGAAACTCTTGAGAGATGCCTATGAACGTGTCAAAGACTTGCTGAAAAAGGTACACTCCAATCTGTATCTATTCCCTAGGACTAAATATTGTTATGAAGATCTTTCACGAGAGTGACTAATTCCCAATAAGTGGTTAAGGTATCTTGGTTGCCTTTAGGTGACTGTTTACCTTCTTCCAGTTTAATGGACAATTTGTTACCTCTCTTTTTAGATACCATTGCATGTCTATGTGTGTTCCTTTTTTGGTTTACAGAATCTAAAGTTGTTCAGTTGGTTATCTTCACTGCATATTGTTATGACTGCGGACTAGTTTTTGGCAGTGGTCATATCTGGTATCCCAGAATTGTCATTGAAGTTTGTTATGGATGCTGATTAAAGTCCCTAGCTACTGTAGGAGAAGAATTCTAATTAAAGCTGGGAAACTGAATCAGAATAGCACATTATGATAAAATTCATGTCTACCAATAACGTTTGAGTTTGAATGCGATGTAATGTAAGGCAGCCTCATGATTTTTGTTGAATGCAGTTTTATGGTTATGACCTCCTTTATAAAGCATTCTTGTTGCAGTAGTTTTTTCTTTTTGAGAATGTTAACTTTCTTGTAGCAGTAGTTAATGGCACACGTTCCACAGAATTGTAGCACCTCTTTGAATAAATGGAAACAATTGTTAGTTACTTGAAGGCTCCCGTGGGGATGGTTTACAATATCCATGGGTATGCATCCTCACAGGTTGGCTGCTCAATATGGTATGATATCAAGGAGCCCCCACCAAATGTAGTCAGGCCACAAGGAAGACTAGACCACTCAATTCCAGCATTATATAGGGGGGAAATTTATGACATTTCAGTAGTTAGTCATACTGCAGCAGTTTTGAAGTTCCAAGTCTTGACCTTTCCATATGAACAATATGTTCAAAAAATAAAACAGCCGTTATTCTAATAATTTTTCTTGCATTTCCCTTGGGATATTTGTATTTGACTTGCATTTTTGTGAGAATGAGTTGCTGAAATTCTTCCTGATGTCTTCTGATTTATACATAAATTCGTAACTTGTTATTGATTGCAGTTAGTAATTATATTTGAGATGTGATAATTGCTTACTGCTCCAAACACTCTGGCAGCATGAAAAAGCATTACATGCCCTGGCCAATGCTTTGTTAGAATATGAGACACTCACAGTTCAAGATATCAAAGAGATACTAGATCCTTACAATGTTGGAACACTCACAGAACAGCAGGAGGAGCTTGCCATCAGTTGATGCTGTGTCTTGCCTGTATAATATGATTTATCATCTTCATCTCTGTACAGTACAGGTACAAGCATAAATTTAGAAAAGGTGTAACATTGATAATTATTTTCCCTTAATCTGGTCGGGAAGCAATCTCTTTGTAGAATAACTTGGGAATCACTGTTAATGTTCAGAGCCATGCATCCTATATCTGCATGAAGGAAGCCTAGGCAATGCATGACAGCCTTCGTTCATTCTAGTTTCTCTTCTATTTTGATTTTCTGGTAAGCAATATCTTAATGACAAATGTTACTTTAACATTCTTGTCAAATAAATATCTTAATGACAATGTTGCCGCAATCTCTACACGGAATGACATAATTTTCTGTTTTTTAGTTTTTTTTCAAAATGTCAATAAAATAGAGAATTCATTGTTGTTATTGTTTGCAGATTTGTTTCTTCTTGAAAATTGCACAAGAGGAGTATGGTTTAAGTTTCGATCAGGATACCGACATCAAAATACAATAACATGTGCTAATTCCAGTATTAGGCATTGTAGATTACTCGAGGTCTGGTTTTACCACTGTTAATGGATGAATATATTTGCTATATAACCTCTCAGCACCATTTTTCTATACTCCCTTCTTTGTGGATGCCAACCATTACTAGTAGTCAGAAACCCAAGCAAAAGGCAATTAGTTATAGGACAGAATGTTTCATGACCATCAACAGATACTCATGATAAAAGAAGTTGCTTCAAGACCATCTTATGACACTTCATGAAACACTTCTTCTTGCCAAGCAATTCATAAACTTGTCCGCATTATATAACTTTTTTTTCTCTTTGATGAACTTGTGTTAAGTCGGGATCAAAGAACAGTTAGAGGTGAGGTCACAGAAGTTGCTATCGTTTAGTGGTACATTACAAATTTCTGCAGCATGTTCTTCGAACATTTTCCATTCTTCTTAATTGCATGCGTTCACCTTTAATAAGATTCCTCCTTCCTGGCATTCACCCCAGTATATATGTCCTTACACAGCATCATATGAATATGATTCTGAATTATTTATCTTATGTGTCACGCAGCAACGATGAACCTCAGCATAAATAGAATTTTAGTAAATATAAGGACACTCAAGAATTGACTTAGTTGTAGATGACTTTCCTTCCTCCATAGAAGGTCAAGCATCGGACGCTTTGATCCTCGAGGTGGTAGGCTTCTCGATTTTCCCAGCTTTTACTAACATTGCTTTCATATTAAGGAATGAGCACCATTATTCCAGGATTTGTTGGCTATACTAAGAGATCAAGGCGATGCCACCTGAGGTCAGGAATCTAGTGCAGCAACTTCTTGATCATGCCATGGTACACATTTGCTTGATTTCTTGCACTAGCAAATCTGAATCCGAAGTATGTGAAGGATTTGGATCTACCGTTACGCCCATCTGTGGCAGCATATGCAGGTGAACTGGAGCTCTCCATTTCAGACTCCCATCAGAGACCATGTTCCCTTGAAAAGTAATTTGTTGTCATGGTGGCTATGCCCCTTAAGCTCTGTCTGTCAAAAAACTAGTCACCCACTTTGTGAATTGTTCACCAAAAATATCAATAAGGCAAGCTTATTTGAGAATATGAAGACAGGAGACTTGAGATTTCACATCAGGTTTGTTGTAGGAAGAACTAGGGTAGGAAAAATCAGACAGTGCAAATTCTAACCGCTCAGTTAGATAGGAATTGGCCGGTTCCAGTTTTGATAGGTTTTGGTGAACTTCTCGGGTATTTAAAAAAAATTCAAACAAAATTATATAAAATCCCAAAAAATAAGGGATTTTGTTTGTAATGTTTTTTTTACCATTTTGGTAAAGATTGTTTTGGCCATTAATACATATTTTCATATTTTTCCATCTTTTTTTAGAAAATTTTAAAAAATACCCCTAGGCCCAAATTTATTCTTTAGAATCTATTTTTTCCATTAGTTTTTAATTTCATTTGGATGTGCTTTGTTTAACCATATTTTAAATATATATATTTTTTATTTTATTAGATTTCTTTTAACATTTTTTTGACCACTTAGGACTTGCCTGGTTAGGTCGGTTGAACCGGCCGGTTTACCGGTTAGGCTGGTAGTTCCGTTTCGGGCCCCATGTCCGGTTGTTCGTTTTGGTTTGATTTTTCCTACACTGGGAAGAACTTCATCGATCATTAGAAAATGGAGTCATATTAGGAGCATATATAGCAGTTCTTATGCGCTTGGGAGCATGTATGGCAGTGCTTATGCCCTTCAACCAATTATAATGCTTGACCTTTTCGGCGTGAATCCTGCCTGCTAATTCTGTTCGAATTTCTAAATATTTACCTTTTTTATTTATCATGATATTTTGCCTAGTTGTGCAAGTGCAAGCCACCTTTTAATTCCACTTCACCACTAATATCCATTGAATGTCTTAATTTTCTCCAAATGGGGTCTTGAGCAATCAATATTTAATCTAAACATAGTTTAACATGTTCTCTAAACACCCTAGTATATCTATCATATTTATCATTGAAAGTAACCATGTCTAGGTGTATGAACTTTCTTTTAACAAATTTTTATATATGATTCATTACAAATTCAGATATGATTCCTAGTGGGAAATGAGCTGGAGCAATAGAGAATCTGCAGCACGGTCTCTTGTCCACAGATATTACCATGTTGTAGCTTGCTTACAACAAATGCCTCCTAACTGGCTTGTACGACTGCAAAACAATGGCTTAAAGTTAATTAAATTGTGTGCTAACTACCCCTGGCGCATGTGGTGCATCTACTGTGACATCACTTGTTGTGATTAGCTAAACCCTGCAGCGGCCGTGTAGTTTGTGTATGCGGTCAATACCATCGATCGACTCTCGCATTTCAACGCCCTGTTATATCATCCAAAACTTGACTGTGCAATCATTTCAACATGGAAGAAACATGTTAGACCTAACAAATAAGCGGCTACGACCTCTTCTATATTTTTATCTATCCTGTGATTCAACCTAGAGAAGGGAGTACATCAAACTCGAGGCTTCTTTTGTGAAACCCGCCCGTTAAGATCACTAAAACTATGGTTTCATCTTTGCACGGTCGATTGATTGGGTAGAAAACTGGATTAGGGTTCTTTCCAAATCCATATATATATATATATAAAATTTTTATATAAGGTTGCAACTTTAAAATGTAGAACTACGGATGCACCTCAAAAATCCATCGGAAAAATTATTTTAATGTTGAAAAACCCTGTGACTGATCATCTCGACATCGAGTTGTATGATTATGAAAAATAAAAAGCTTTTGAGTCTTAGAAATAGTGCATCTTACAACATATTATATGCACCGTCCATTTTTAAGATTTTCATATGTTTATAGATCTAATTGATTTTAACCATTTTTAGAATTCAAACTTTTATAATTAGAGATAAAAATAGATTTTGAAATAATCCTAATAGCATTTTATATCAAAATTATATATTATGATAAAATTTGAAGGCGTACCTTAGTTGGATTGTTTTAGGTTGCAACCTTATGGAAACCATACCCATATATATATATATATATATATATATGTGTGTGTGTGCGTGTGTGTACGGTTGTATCATAGTATAATGCAACGACACTCTAGAAACCATGTTGTGGTATTGTACGTATCCTAATTTGTCACACACACTCTCTTCTATCTCAATAATACAACTACCCCCCCAAAAAAAACCGTTAACTAACTTAGTAACCTAACGATATGGTACAAATAGACGTTACCCTACCAAAAAAACGAAACTA